GGCAGCCAAAAACAGAAACACAAGACTTGGATGCTGTCGGGTTCATGAAGTGAAGAGGGGTCTGGAAGCCAGAAGAGATCAATCCTACACTGACGGGGACTCTGGACAGGAAGTAACACGGAGCAGGGATGCGGGGCAGACGAGCATGGACACGAAAATGCAGGGTAGGTCAGGTTAGGGCTGTACAACAGAAAAACAGAAAGCGCTTAGTACGTGACCACATGGGAGCAACAATATCTCGCACTGAATGTGAGATCCTGATCATGCCGACATTCCCACAAGGGGGAGGCATGACACTGATTCATATTTCACTGCAATTATTTATAGATGAAAAAACCAAGGATATTTCATTTGAAAAGTTATTATATTGATAGAGAAATCCATGAAACAGAAGTGTTTAAAATGACCTCTGTTTGAAGTCACCATAGAGGATTCTGCTGGGGAAACCCTTTCTGCAGATCCTGATACCTTCCAGCACACCGTTACACCTCAGCTGATGGATAACCAGGAAGTTCTCCATCAGACCTGGAGGACAAATGAAAGTAAAGGAATTATACGTAAAATCTGAATAAACCTAGTGAAACTGCTTTAATATTGATGTTTATGCAGTTGATGTAATGTGCAGTGCTGTACAAACCTGGTGTCTTTGATTCGTTTGGAATCAGGCAGCGCACAAAGTGAGGGTGAGTGCTTCTCAGGTTGGTCATCAGCTTGCCCAGGTTCTCCTGTAGGATGAAAGGATGTGTGTCATTAACATAGGATGGAGGCATATATACAGTTATGTGAAAAAATTAGGACACCCATTAAATATTTAGTACTTGATTAAGAAATATCAACATATCAATACTAAATCTTGAAAAAACAAGAAACAAATTCACTTGTTTCACAAAAAAAATTAACTAAGATGCCAATGCCTACTGAAGAAAAAGTTAGGACACCCTGTGCCCTAATAGCTAGTATTTCCCCCTTTGGCTGAAATAACTTCAATGAGATGTTTCATATAACCATCTATCAATCTCTGACATTGACTGGCAGAAAGTTTTCCCCACTCTCCAATGCAGAATTCCTTAAGCTGTGTGATGTTTGAAGGGTGTCTTGCATACAGTTCCTCTTCAAATCACCTCACAGCATCTCAGTAGGATTCAGATCCGGGCTTTGACTTTACTATTCCAGAACTCTTTCTTGTAAGCCATTCCTTGGTAGATTTACTGGAATGTTTTGAGTCATTGTCATTTGCATGATCCACCCCAACTTCAGCTTCAACTTTTGGACAGATGATCTCACATTGTCCTCAAGCATCCTCTGATATGATGAAGAATTCATAGTAGAGTCTATGATGATGAGCCAGGAAAACAGCAAAGCAGCCCCAAACCATGACATTTCCACCCCATGCTTCACAGCTAGCATGAGGTTCTTTTGCTCAAAATATGTCTTTGTTTCACACCAAACTGTCCTCTGTTACTATGTCCAAATAACTGAATTTAAGATTCATCTATCCAAAACACATTGTTCCAAAAGTCCTGGTCTTTGTCTAGGTGGGTCTCTGGCAAACTTCAGTCTTGCCCTGGTATTTTTTTGACAGCAAGGGTTTCCTCCTTTTAAACCAAACTTGCACAGTCTCTTTCTGATGGTAGATGCATGTACCTTGACATCAACTGTGGCAAGAGCTTCCTGTATAACCTGTGATGACATTTTAGGATTTTTGGAGACTTATTTCAGCATGTTGGGGTCTGCTCTTGGACTGAACTTGCTAGGACAGCCTGCCCTGGCCATACTGGCAGTTGTTTTAAATGTTCTCCACTAGGGTGACCACCTAATCCATGTCAGGAGGGACACTATGAGCTACAACAGGATTTGTAAACTACCATTTCATACATTTCATACATTTCAATTAAAAGGACCAGGATTTCACTTAAGCACTGGGTTCTTGCCGTATGCTGATTGGTCAGTCTCCTATAATCATGCATATGTGTCAGTAATGTT